GAATCCGTAGTGGCAGGGTCTAATAGAAAAATAATGGGACCCAACATGCTCCATTTCAGTTTCTAACCGTCACATGAAAAACGTAATAAGAAATTAATTTAATAATACATATTTTAAGCCAAATACATCCAAAATATTGTCAAACAATCAATATACCAATCCTTAATGAGATTTCACACACACACACACACACACACACACACACACGTCTTCAAATACTAGCGTGTTTTATGCTTCTAGAATATCTTCTTTGGACCAGCTGTCTTGCAAATGCCTGGCAGCCACACGTGGCCGCTGGCCTGCGGGCGGGGCACGGCCATGTCCGACTCGCCTTTGTCCTCAGCGCAGGCGCAGTACCCACAGCAGAGTAGGTGTTCCACAAATATGTAATGAATAACATTGCCTAACATTACCGCAACTTGTCATGCTCCAGAGAACATGACAGATACCACTTCACCTCCAAATCAACATTCTGGACAATTTAAGTAACTGAATTTGTGTCATTTTCAGAAAGTAGACACACCAGTCTAGTCTGCTTTGTGTCGAGCCTGTGTTTGCTCCAGTATTGGAAAATCTCTCCCCAGAACCACCAGAAATCATTTTATTTACTTTTATTTGTTATCATCTTGTTTATCTGGTGAACATTTATTAACATTAAATGCCCCTCACGTTAGCATTTAAAGGGAGAGGGGAGATTCTGTAACGAAGATTCAATAAACCACAATGCTTTCTCGCAGGATCTCACTCTAGGAGGGCACGTGCAGCATACACACATAGATGGCCAGAAAATCCTGGAGAGATTCGCTTCCGGGTGGAAAAGCAGCATGTATTCTCGCTTCCCAGCTCCATAAAGCCATCTTGGAGAAACCCCAGTGAGAAAACAGGGGGACTCTGGTGAGGCGGATGGGCCGGGGGCTGCGGGGTGTGAGGCTTCGTTCTGCTCTGGCCTCTCCCAGTACTGGCCCGGAAGCGCTGCCTGCTCCGTGTTCCGAAGAGCTGTGACGAGATTTGGATCGTTTGTTCAGCGAACTGAGGACTGGGGAGAAAGTCACGGTTGAAATCTGTGCTGAGGGAGGGAGGGGATCACAGCAGACACCATAGTCTTCCGCTGTTCCTCCATCCGGGCCACCAGGCCCAGGACCGGGCCCAGGCCAAGGCTGACAGCTCCTCCCACCAAGGGTAGTGACCGCGGCTTTGCGATGACCCAGGACTCCAGCTGTCCCTTCATGATACTGGCACCAACGGGTCCCCACGGGCCAAAATAGTGAGACCCACAGGAGGCGCTACTGCCTCAGGAGAAAGCCAACAAACGGGACGCACGCGTTCTCCAAAAGAGTTTAGAAACTGTGGACCAGCCACTTAAAATAAGCCTAGAAAATAAGAGGAATCGTGAGATTAAAAAAAAAAAAAGGAAATATAGGAGAAACCATATAGAAGTTCTAGGTGTGAGAAAATAGAATAGCCAAAATAAAAACCACAGTCATGGGATACAAAGCACAAGAGATAAACTGAAAAGCAAATTAGTAGGGTGGAAGACTATATTGAAAAAACACCCTAGAATAAAAGATAACAGAATAAAGAAATGAAAACAAAGACCAAGAGAGGTGACTTCAGACAAATCCAAATGGGGGTAATATGAGTGTGAAATCAATAAGAGAAAATAGTTAAAGAATGAAAAAAGATCAATCATCAGAATTAAAAGATAGAGCCAGGGATTCAGCTCAGTGGTTCTGCCATTGGCTTTGCAAACACAAGGTCCCAAGTTCGATCCCCAGTACCAAAAAAAAGGGACGATTCATCCTACAGAGAGAAAAAGAAAAACCCACTTTCTATATATTGTAACATTTTAAGGTGTTGAAGACAATGAGAAGATTCTGAAACATTCCGGCATGGAAGACCCACATTAGATCTCCTAATAACACTGAATGTGGAAAAAATCTTGGGCTAATATTCTTTAAAATATTTAAGGGAAACTTAGACTTTAATATACAACTAAACATTATTAAAAAGTAATGATAGTGATGGTATAACCTGATTTTATCATTCTACATTGTATACATGAATTGGATTATCACACTGTACCAAATAAGTATACATAATTATTGTGTCAGAAAGTTTTTAAATGATAGTATAATAAAAATATTCTCAAGCATAATGAGGCTTCAGAAATTTTTCTATACAAATGATCACATTTAAAATATTTTTGGAAGCCAAAGATGGTGGTGCGTGCCTGTGATCCCAGCACTCAGAAGCCTGAGGCAGGAGGATTGGTATGAGTTCAAGGCCAGCTTGGGATACATAGTAAGACCTTGTCTCTAAAAAACAAAACTAAACAAAACATTAACCCAAAGAAAGCTGTGTAGCTGTATTAATATCACAAAAGCCAGATTTTAAATCAGAAAGACTGTAGAACAAATTGAGAAAAGAGTTAATTCAACAGGACTATAATTCCAAAAAATAAGCACACCTAATAACCTAAATGTGTAGAAGTAAAGTTGATTTTACAAATAGAAACAAATTACAAAGTTAGAAATTTAAACTCATCATTCTTATTTATAAATCAATCAAATACAAGGAAAGATACAGTAGATTAAAATGACAAAAAATAAAATCAAATCTACATGTATGACCTATTAAACACATGTATAAAGTTCTGCATCCCATTTGTCAGAGCACATATGAAGTATTGCCAATCCATGAAGCAAGTCTCAATGAACTTTAAAGAAGATGCCTCACAATACAAAATTCTTAGGACATCATGTGGTTAAGTTTTTAAAAAATTAATAAATTTTATTTCATCGCATTCTTTCCCTCAAGCCCCCTCCCCTCCCTATGTATAAAAGCTTTGGTTCCATTTTTCCTTCTATTTTCACTTTTTTCTTGTCCCTTCCTTCCTTTCTCCTGCCCTTCTCCCTTGTGCCTCTTCTCATTTGAACACTTTCTTCCAATTTCCTAACATCCATTATATATCTCAGTCCTTATTTCCACATTCAGTTTCTCACAGCAGAGAAACAATGTGGTATTTAAACATGTGTGTCCGATTTATTTCACTTAAGAGTACGGTCTTCAGGTCCATCTATTTAGCTATAAAGGTCTGAAGCTCATCCTTCTTTTGGCAGAGTAGTACTCCACTGGTGGTTAAGTTAATAACAAAAAATACATATTTTATAAAAATCTCCTTGTACTTTGAAATAAAAACATGGAACATCCAATTGTTAAAAAAGAATAATTCCACAGTTTGCGTGACTTACTCTATTTTCTCATTGTCTCAGGACTCCAGCTCCTCCCACTTTGAGAAGAGACAAAGTTAGGGAGGCACCTACCCCAGGTAGGACTGAAGCAGTGAAGAGATTCATTCATTCATCCATCCATTCATCCATCCATTCACCCATCCATCCATCCATCCATCCATTCATTTACTCATGCACAAATATCTGCGGAGCCCCCAGTATGTGCCAAGCATCATCTTAGGCACTGGGGAATGGAAATAAGAGTTCAAGTTAGGCAACTCATAACTGTGCCACTGTATTACTAACTGTGCTAGAGGAAAGAGCATTTCAGAAATATCACCAGAAAGCAGGCTGCAGGCTGCCCAGGAGCCACCCAGGGGTGGCTGGAAACACAGACCCCTGCCCTTACAGTGGAGGGGCTGATCTCACTCATCAGATCAGCAAGGGACCCAGGAATATGCATTTTATGAATTGCAAATAAACTGAATTAAGATATGGATTTTAAGCTTTATCTTTTATGGACAATAATTGTACTTATTTATGGGGAATAGTGTGATGTTTCAATACAGGTATACAATATATGATGATCAAATCAAAGTAATTTATCAACTCTGTCACCTCAAACATTTATCATCTCTTTATGTTGAGAACATTCAGAATTCTATTAGCTCTTTGGAAATATACAATGAACTGCTGCTATCCTACTGTGCTGTGAAACATTAGGAGATATACCTGCATCCTTCCTGGCCTAGGCTATCAGCCTACTCTCAGAACTATCAGTCTATTCTACTTTTACAACATCTACGTTTTCAACATCATCTCCTTTCACATATGAGTGAGAACATGAGCTATTTGTCTTTCTGGATCTGGCTTATTTCACTTAATGTCCTCCAGGGTCATTCATGTTACCTTCAATGACATTCTTTTTATGGCTGAATAATATTCCATTGTATATATGCCACATTTTCTTTTTCCATGTATCCATTAATGGACAAGAATTTACATTTGTATAAATTCCTCAGGTAATCCTCATGTGTAGCCAAGTTTAGAATCTGAGACCCCAGTGATTTCTCAGATCCCTTCCAGGTTGTAAATCACTTATTTCAGGATCTTTGGCAAATGGCCTTGGGAGATTTGATTGGACTTCTCTTTACCCAGATAGACAGCTGTGTATTTTGTATACTTCTCTAAATTCTTCCACTGCCTCCCATTGGTAGAAAGTAACCAGAAGGCAAAGTCCGCAGGGCTGCAGCCCTCAGGGCCAGCCTCGGGGCAGCGGGGGAGGGGGGGGCGAGGGACCAGGAGGGACAAACAGAGACCACCACGTCCCTCGCCCTCTTCACATGGGTCCATGGGCCCTCCGGGCAGCTCCTCCTCAGACTAAGCATCTCCACAATTATGCGTTCATTCTTTTATAATGAAATAAAATAATATAGATCCAATATTTGCTTTTTAAAGTTTCTGAGTGATTCCAGTTTTTTAGCTACGCATTTGTTTGCAGAAACTTACAGGGAAAGTAGGATTCCTCACCCGATGGATGGGATGAAGGGTTTGTTCCGGCTCCGTCCTCCTGGGCGGAGGCCGCGGGGGGGGGAGCGCAGCCGCCCCCCCCAAGCAGCCGCCCCCTCAACTCGCCTGGGGACCCAGCCTCCCGCACTCGAGGCGCCCTGCACCTTCCCACCCGGTTCTTCTCTTCTTTACCCAGCAACAGTTGCGTCAACTCAGAGACCTGCTGTGATTGGCTGCATCTGGCAAGGGGCTCTGTCTAATCCAGATTCTGTTTCTTCTGTACCTGATTTCTTCCTTTGCTCCCCACACAGACTGAGCCTCACTTGGCGAGAGCCTCGAGGCCGATGGCCGTCCCCGCGGGGCTGGTCCTGGGCCTCTACGCCGTGATGACTCTCCTGAGCCCCCCGGGAGCAGGGGCCATCAAAGGTGAGTGCTGAGAGCCGGGGTGGGGTGGGGTGGGGAGACCGGAGATCGAGGCAGCAGAGGATGAGAGTCCCCTTCTCTGGCTGGTGGTCAGCTCCCCTGACACCCCAAAGCCCCCACATCTCCGTCACACCCATTCCGGGCCTGGACACAGGTGCGGCGCAGTCCAGCTGCGCTGCTGTCCCCTTTGGGCTTTTTTCAGGTTCAGTTCCTCCCCACTCCCGCGTGGGGTCCACAGCTGGCTCCTCTTTCTCTCATTTCCTCGTCTTTCTTTTCTTGTACTTCCTGGCGTCGTTCGGGCACACAGCAGTCCCTCCGCGTGGAACACGTAACTGCCGCCGTTGCAAAGGCATCTTTCCAGCCCAGGCCCAACCCCTGACTTCCGGGAACGCGTCAGTCGTCCGCTCTGCGCTGGGACCTGGACCGCGAACCCCCGACCTCTTGTCCAGGCGCCCCACGGTCCAGCGCGGTGTCAGGGCACTGTCCCCACGCAGCCAGCTGGGGCCCCCGCTGAGCTGAAACCTCCTCCGCCCTCACCCCCACAGCGGACCACATGGGCTCCTACGGACCAGCCTTCTACCAGTCTTACGATGCCTCGGGCCAGTTCACCCACGAATTTGATGGGGAGCAGCTGTTCTCCGTGGACCTGAAGACCAGGGAGGTGGTGTGGCGTCTGCCTGAGTTTGGCGACCTCGCGCGCTTTGACCTGCAGACCGGGCTGATCAGCATCGCAATGATCAGAGCCCACCTGGGCGTCCTGGTGGAGCGCTCCAACGGCACCAAAGCCACCAGCGGTACCTGCCCCGTGCCCCGCCCAGCCGGGCAGGGGAGCCCAGCAAGTCTGCCCTCCTCCCGTCCCCGAGAACCCTCCCTCAGCCCCGGCACGTGCTCTCTTGGCCCCTCGTTCTCCAGGATGTAGGTTTTCCCAGACCCTCAGCGTCCTGATCCTTCTTGAGGGACCCCACCGACCCGGGCTGGCCTGGTAGCCCCACTTCCTCCCAGACACCTCCCCTTTCCCGCCCTGTCCCGCCCCGCAGCGCCCCCTGCCTGCAGACGGCTGAAGGGGCGGAAGCCTCCCTCGGCCCTGGCCCCGCGGTGAGGGATGCGCCTCGGGGACTCAGGCCGGTTCCTTTCAGTGCCTCCCAGAGTGACCGTGCTCCCCAAGTCTCGAGTGGAGCTGGGCAAACCCAACGTTCTCATCTGCATCGTGGACAACATCTTCCCCCCCGTGATCAGTGTCACCTGGCTGCGCAACGGTCAACCCGTCACGGAGGGCGTGTTCCAGACCAGTTTCTATCCCCAGCCCGATCACTTGTTCCGCAAGTTCCACTACCTGACCTTTGTGCCCTCGGCGGCCGACGTCTACGACTGCAAGGTGGAGCACTGGGGCCTGGACGAGCCGCTCCTCACGCACTGGGGTACGGAGTGTCGCCCCCTCCCGCCACCCGCGCAGCCCGTTCCTTCGCTCCCGAATCCCTTCCCTTGACCCTTCCTTTCTCTCCCAGAGCCCCCGCTGGCCGCCCCGCTGCCAGGCACCACAGAGACCCTGGTCTTCGCCCTGGGCCTGGCCATCGGCCTGGCGGCCTTCGTGGTGGGCACCGTCCTCATCATCACAGGCGCGTGCGTGTCCGGTGCCCCCAGGTGCAGAGGCCCGGGAGTTTGGACCGCGCGGAGCAGGCTGGGGCGGGAAGGGTGACAGAGGTGAGCCGTGGGCGGAGAATAGGGGAGCAGAGGTGGGCTGGGGGTGAGGGCTGGAGAAGGTGGGCGCTCAGATAGGGTCCCAGAAACGGCCTTGAGTGACCTTGTTCGCATGGCTTCTGCTACTTAGGGAATGGCTCTTCTGAGAGGAGCAGACAGCGGAGGCGCCTTCTGGAGTCCGAGGTTCTGACAGCCTGGGCCTCAGAGCCACAGTCCACTGAGTTCTTCCCTGCCCTGCTGATCTGAGTGGCATCAGCCTCTGTCCTATAGGTGCCCCTCTGTGGCCACAGTGCTTCTGGTCGGATCTGTGGGAGTCACCAGCTCAGCCTTCTTTCCGCAACGCACACGCGCGCGCGCACACACACACACATACTCTCTCTCTCTCTCTCTCTCCTACTCTTGCTTTACCCAAAGCCTTGACGAAGAGCTCTAAATTCTTTTGTGGTGTCTGCACGGTGTCCTTTAACCAGATCTTGGCCAGTTCTTCCAGGTGTGAGGGATGCTCAACCTGAAGCGGGGTCTTGGTGAGGACCACAGAGGTGACCACACTTGGCTGCCATCCGCAGGCCAGTCCTGCTGTGCCTTGCTTTGTTTGGCTTCTTGTGTGTTAATCTGTCAATGAGCCATTTCCCAAAGATTTCATGAAATTTGCCTCCTGAATTCAGATTTGTCCTGAAAGGTATGCAGCATATCATTCCTTGCAACTCCCTCAAGCAACCATAGTTTGGAAAGGCATGGGGAGAGGAAGGCTCCTGGGGACCCCACTTCTGTCTGGATGATAAGGCTATGGTGTCCAGCCATGATCTATAGTGTCTTCTCCTTTTTCCACATTCCCTAGAGTCCCATGCATGACAAAGAGAAGTCCAAGACATGGATTAGATGGCTACTTCCTCCTCAATGGAGACAGTCAGACCAGGCAAGAGGAAAGCAGAGCAGATCTGCAAGGTATCTAGCAAGAAAGGAGGTCTAAGAGAGATCCACCTGACCGCTCTGTAACTGTGTGGCCTGGATGGTTTTAACAGAACCAAATGAAAAATACACTATTGTAGCAGACACCTCTGCCCAGTATTAGCAGGCTAGAGCGGCACAAGCTCCCCTCCCGCCAGAGTTCAGCTGTGTTACATGGGAAGTAGCAGGGCTCAGCTGAGTTCATTTCTAACCAAGGTCAACTGACTCCAACTGAATTCTTTTTCTCTGAATTAAACATTTGTTCTCTTCAGCAAAGATATGTTAGTGCCCTCATTCTATGGTCCTGCGTATGATCCTTGTTCTCAGCAGGTGTCCAAGGCTTGCCCAGCTTCCCCTTCCCACGCTTGTAATGAATAAACACTGGATTTCCTGGGGGTCCTTTGTCTTTGCTGCCCAGAGCAGCTTAGACCAGCCCAAGACTCAGCTTCTCTCAAGTCTCTGTGTCTTTATTTCCCTCTTTCCTACCTTGTGGACATCATACTGGCTTGGAGAAGATCAAGACCCATGGCTGGGGTTTTCAATAATGTCTCTTATACACTATAACCATAAACAACCACATAAAGTAGTTTGTGTCAAGTACCACATGAGTGACATGCCTTGATACCAGCTGATCCTTTGCTTGAAACTTAAGTTCCTGTATCATTAGAAAAGTGTTTCTCTCATCTGTGTCTTAGGGCTTAATAAAGTCATTTAAAGTGTTTTTCTCTGACCGAAAGAAGTGTGCTTTCTTCACTGTGCAAATATCATCCAGAAGTCACTGGAACTTAGATTATGTGTCTGCCCTTATGTTCACACATTTTTCCTTCTAGTCTCAAGAAATAGTCCTTCATTTAGAAAAAAAAAACCTGTCCTTTTCCTTTCATGGGCTGATTCCCTTCACTCTTTTAGAATAGATGTTCAATGGGCTGGGATTTAGCTCAGTGGTGCCGCCGCCTCCCTCACAAGGTCAAGGTTCTGAGTTCAATCCCTGATACCAAAAAAAAAAAAAGAATAGACGTTCAACAGCTTTCACCTCTTCTATATTCTCAAACTCTTCTGCTTTGCAGGCTCCTCCTACAGAAAATAAATCTGCCATTTCTCCCGTGTAATGAGAACATCAATCCCCACTCTGTCCTATTGCCCAGCACCCCTGGGTCCTCCAAGTTTTGAGCCACTCTCTTTCAGAAAGTTTTAATTTTTAATAAAGCTATGTTAAGAGCACTTTAAGAGTCAAATAGTTCTACAAGACTTTCTACAAAAATCCCAGCCTCTGAGCCCCTCTCCTAGCTCATCTCATCCTCAGAGGCGAGGGCTTCCAGCTGTTTTAACAGATTCTCTGCTGCTGTGGTTTCAATGTGGTTTATCCCCTGGGGTTCATGTTGTGGGAAGAGTGGTCCTAGGTGTATATGATGTGGAGGTAGTAAGACCCTTAGAGGTGGGGCCTGCTGGAAATCCCAAGGTCCTTGGGGCTGCACCCTGAAGAGGAGTCAAGGCAGTCTGGTGGGACCCGAGTTAGCTCTGCTGAGAGCAAATTTCTGGGAGTGAGCCCGACCACTGAACTGCTGTCTGGCTTCCTGTGTGGCAGCGCGACCCGCACTGCTCCACGGACTCCTGCCACTGTGGTGTCAGCCCAGACGACGCTGGCACCAGGCCCTTGCACCTCAGAACTATGAACTAAGCAAACCACTTTTTTTTTCAAAGTAGCCCGCAACAGGTATTTCATTATAGTAATGAAAAATGGACTAAGATAATTGGCATTGAATCTCCTACCTCTAAATATCATTTTTTTTCTTGATTTTTCAGCTTTTGGTTTTATTTCTTTACTTTCCACTTTGGAAGAGGAAGATATGGCTTCTTTTGCCTCCTCAAAGTACACACACACTTTCCATAGCTCCTTCATTTTACACATTATAATTCTGGCTAAGTCATTATTTCCTGTTCATGTTATTATGACCATATAATGAAGGCTGTAAACTACATCAGCTCTTTTTTTCTTAGATGACTTTTTAATGTTTGTTTTCCTTGGAGTTAGGAATTATCCTGTTTTCGCTTCACCTGGTTTTAGTTGTACCGTTTGTTAATGAATCACAAATGTCCTCACAATACACATGCAGCCAGTCTTCTGTCAATTTCATGATCAGAAAAAATTCTTCCGGAATGTTTTTACTGTTCCAGTCTTAACTGGTTATCCTCAGTGACACAGCTGTCATTCTGGGTCACTTTTCACCATCCTTGTCAGGATTTACTTGATTTTTGTGTTGAATCCTTTGTTTCTTGTACCTAGTCATTATCCTTTTGTGGTCGCTGGTTATTTTAATGAGGCAAATCTTTTAGCTTCTTGAGAAAGCATTATGAGGCAAGCTTTTTATGCCTTGCTTGTTAGAAAATGCATTTATTCACGCTCACAGCTGAATGCTTGTATGGGTATAAAACTCAGGTTTGGAAGGCTTTTCTCCATAGTCCCTTGGTTTCGTAGCATATCTGCTGAAACTCTGTATGCTTAGTTCTTTCCCCATCCCTGTCTGGAAGCTTGTAAGATATTTTTTTTCCTCCTATTTTAAATTCCTATAGCTGTTCCATTACCTTTAGAGTGAAGATCCTTCTCAAATTGTCCCCAGTGTGCCTCTTTAACATTATTATTATTGCCATTATTGATTTTTTGAGACAGTATCTTACTATGTAGGTCTGGCTGGCCTTGAGCTCACTATGTACCCTAGGCTGACCTTGAATTCATGGTAATCTTCCTGCCTCAGCTTCCTGAGTGCTGTGATTATAGGTGTGAACCATCACACCTGGTTCCTTTAACTTTATTTATTTATTTTTGGTACGGGGGATCGAACTTGGGACCTTGCACTTACAAGGCAGCAGAACCACTGGGCTGAATCCCTGGCCCCTTTAACCTTTCCTTTAAATAGCTCCTCTGAAAACAGCCAATGCTTAAGTCAAGGAAAATGTCCCATATATGTGCATCCTACTCTGTCTTCACACAGTCTATTCTCTACACCAGACCTGCCTTCTTGCCAGTCAGGATTCTTCTACCCTTTCCCAGACCCAGTGAAACGTCATTTCTGCGGAGCCTTCCCCATCCCATCCTCTGTGTTAGGCCCATTCTCTCGCCGTGATACACAGCACATTCTGCCAGGCGTCAGACAGAGTTAACCTTGTGAGTGTCTGCCCCTCACCCTGATTTCTCCTCTGGCACAGAGGAGCTCCGTGTCTTATATTTCTAACACCTGATGCAGCCTGTTTCATTTGCTTCAAGTCCAGCCGACTCCCAGCGCTCTGCAGCTGATTATGATGACACAGGCTGCCGTGGACTGCAGGCGTGCAACGTGCCCGGGCTTGAGGCAAGTGCTTTTCAGGTGGAGCGCTTCTGCATCCGTAAAACCAGACACACAGTGCACTGAGTGCCGGGAAGAGGAAACTTCTTTAAGTAATCTTTTGTTTCTCAGCTTTAACATTGATATTTATTTCTTTTAAACCCTTTTCCAATTTCTTGGGAGACCAGAGTGAGCTATACTTTCATTCTCACCTCCATGTGCAGGACCATGCAACCATACCCTCATGTTCTTTGTACAAAATACTCCTATTTGCCTCAACAAGAGGAACACTCATGGCATCATACTTATAAGGGACACAGGAAGGCTGAGGGGTGCTCTGGTTCACCAGCTCATCAATAAGGCTCTGGATGACGGCGTGACTGGGGGGATTGAGGCCATAGCGTAGGACTCGAGGGCAAGTTCCTTTACAGTAGTTCAGGGTATAGTGGTGGGGAGCAATGATCCATTGATCCCAGCCCAAATGACGAAAGCTGAGTGTCTAAGCTGGGGGGAACACTGGTTATTTTCAGATTCATCCTGTTCCTGGGAGGGGGCAGAAACCTCAGATGCAACACCATCTTTTTAAAGTAATCTTAAATGTGACTCCAAATCGGCTCCCCATCCCTGCCATAAGTTTGACTTTAAATTCAGCCTCAGTCATTACTGGGGTTTCGCTTTCTCAGGCTTGTTCAAAGGCTCTGTGGCCTGACACGGTGCAGGGGCCTTGGAGAAGCTCTGTGTCTCCCTGCCTCAGTCTGGACGATGACTCCAAGCAGAGGGACCAGCTGGGTCTTAACCCATATGGTCCTTTCTGAGTGGCAGCTTGGCCACCTCTGCACCACAGTTGAGGCAGGGGAATCTCTGGTGAGGGGCGATTCCCGCCGTGTGGAAGGATGTACCAAACAGCCCCGTGCCCTCCCTCACAGGCCTCTCTATCTACGTCGGGTGCTGACAGGGAGCAGGGCTCTCTGAGGACACACAGACGGGGGTACCTCCTCGGCCTGGGAGGGTTTCCCTTGTCTACCTTCCAAGCCACTTCCCCTCTGCCTCCCAGTATAATGTCTGGGACAGGTGACACAATGTCAAGTATGCACCAGGCTTTGGGACATCAAAGCCAGAAGGAGCAGCTCAGAGGTAGCATTCCTTGTTGCCTTGTATCATAAACCTAAACACAGGGAAAGATGAACCATTATTCTGCCACGATGTGTATTATGTCCTTTCTTACAACCAGTCTGCAAGTATAATTACAGAAATATAGAGGAGAAAACTGGGATTCAAATTATTTAACTTGCCCCAGGCCAGACAGCCAGAGCATGGCTGGGAAAGGGTCTGATGATTCTAGAGCCTGTATTGCTTTCCTGCTTCATCACTGCTTGTGAACAAGGGGCAAACACCAGATTGCTAGGGAAGGTGCATGAGGAGGTTTTACCCCCTTTGGAAACTAACTTCTATTGAGGCTTCAGCAGGAACAGTGAGAAATGGGGTTGGAAAAATGAGCAGGTTCTGGAATTACTGAAGAGATTTTACTTCCCCATATCACCTTTATCATTCATGTCATTTCCTTTTTTTTTTTTTTGGTATTGGGGATCAAACTCGGGACCTTGCGCTTTTGAGGCAGGCGGCAGAACCACTGAGCTAAATCCCCGGCCCCTAGATTTTCTTTCTCGCTTAGAAATACGATCTAAATCCCATTCTGGCAAACAAGGTCCACTGGCTCTGAAGCTTCATCTCCCGTCAGTCTTCTTTCACTAAACTTCTGCCACACTGTCTCCCTGGAGTCCTCCTGCCCACGATCTCAACACCAGGGCATCATCCACGCACACTCCCACGGTGCCAATTCTGAGCGGCTTCCCCAGCCAACTCTGCTAAACAAACCGCCCACTTCCGGGCCCGCTTTCTCTCCAGTTGCCCTGTTTATCCTTGGGGGCCGATGCCTCTCCTTGGAAGGGGTCCCGCTTCCTGGGCTTTGCTTGCTCTCACACCTCCTGGAAGCCTTCTGGGGAAGGGACCACGCATCTGGAGGAGCAGAGTCACTTCCTGTCCTCTCTTCTCTCCATGCCTTAGACTTGCTACCGAGACTGTAGTTTGCCTCCATCTTGTGACTTGAGTCCACTTTATGTGGCGACTCCAAGTTGGAACAGCAATCTCTGAAGAAGAGGACTCCGTGGCATTTCTGAGCCCTGAGAAGGCTGCCGCCTCCTCCTCCCTGGAGTCTCCACACCACTCCCCAGCCCGGGTGAGGTTCCCAGCTGCCCTTTCCTCCTTCAGAAAGGCCTTCACCTTATGGACTGCTCCTTACCAGAATGCCTGGACATGTCCAAATAGAGAAAATGAATCAAAAATCTTCTGCTGTTACTATGAACATTATTGCTTTTATTATTTCTATTATCTTTCATTTATTGAGCATTTAATGTGG